CGCCTATAAAAACCAACGACAAACGCTAGGACAACAACGGAGGATGGTCACCTAACCCAGAGTTGAGCTCAATTCGGAGTCCTAACCACCTGCACCTCAACGACAAGGTAAGTACAATTTAATATTATTTCACCTTTGTTTACCCTTTTTTATCCTTTTAATGCTTCTTCTTTCTTTACATGGAAACAAAATCAACTAGGAATTTAACTATCTGCTGGTCGTCCGTCTGTCTGTCCGGAGTTTCAGTGTCTTAGGTCTATTGGGTGAATATACCAGCGCATGCCGGATTGGCTATGCGTTAAATCAGCGCCTCCCTCGTTGGACTTGGACGGCGCAGTGTGTGACTCCCTTTGGATTTATGTAGATTTAGTTGTCGTAGTGATACTTCGTTTTATTTCAAATATTTGCATCTATTTGTTTGTTCAATATTTTTAAGTTTTGTATGTTTTTCTTTTTGTATTTAAAAAAAAAATGCATAGATGTTTTTTTTCTTCCTTTTTTTATATATATATATGTATCGATCAATAAAAATGTCGATTTTCAAATTTAAATTTGACTTCTTGCTGTTCGGGGAGATCACACGTCCAGTCTTCTTCGCAGGTGTATTTAAAAAGGACAGTTTTCCTATCATTTTTTTTTCAGGAAATTTCTCCTACCCTCTTATTAATTTTCTTTTATCCCCCTTTATGACGTTTGCCAACTGTTATACACAACAGCAGTTTTGTGCGTGCTATCAATTTTTCTTCTTCTTCTTCTTTTAAATTTAACCCTACAAGGCGCACACCACAAATTATGCATTATGACGTTATATTCTATGTGTAACTAACCTTTTTATAGACAATGAAAGAGACTAACAAGTATGAGACTTAAATGTTACTTGAATGAGTTTGAAACGTACAATTACGTAGTCATATTTAGGGGATTTTCTTTTTAACAAAAAATTCCACTTTATTTTATTCGTTTTTATGGGGGATGTTTTTTGACATTTCACTTTCGTCATTTTCTGATTTATTCGTTATATTAATTGTCTTTTTAAGAGTACATTTTAATTATTAATAAGTGCATTACTACTTCTCTCTGGGTTTTAATGTAACAGTCAAGTGTTTTTTTGTTTAATCTCCCGCTTCATCTCAAGTGATCATTAAATTTTCTTCTTCTGTAAAGAGTGTGATTATTGAATAGACTTGTTCGGCAGAAACGGAAATAACACAAATCCGGAAATAAGAAAATAATCCATTTAGTTAAGGTGCGTTTGCTTGTGAGAGAAGAATACACACAGTTGTATGAAATAGAATTACATGTCATTGCATTAGAAAGATTAACAATTGAAAAAAGCGGGCCGAACTTTTGTATACCCTCCAACATAGGTATACATAACAAAAGGTGGACCGACAGTTCTACAAACCTATTTATGTAATCAATTATGTACACCAAATACAAATTACAACGATTTTGAATGGAAATTTTTACTAAAATCTGACACTCCAAAACATGGACCGATACTGCAATTGGACTGAAAATACTGCAATTTAGAGTGCAAATATATATAAGGCTATGTCTTAAGGGAGGACCAATATTGATAGCGCCAATATTGATAGCGAGGAATTAGCGAATATTTGGAGTTATAATTATATGAGGAGCTATGAGTAATTGATGACCGATATAGCTCAATTGCGAACCCAATATTTTAGTTTTGTATTTCAATACTTTCCTTCTGGAGGTATCATTGTCAGGTTCCAGATTTTTTATCACGATATCCTTAGAAGGCGGAATGATTACAACAGATGGCTAAATCGTTTTAGAATACTTTGAAGTGTAAAAACTGGCTATTCCGATTAACGACTATCCCCCAGAATGGCAGAATACACCTATATGGGGATAACCTCAACACACGGAACAAAGCAGATAAATACTTTAATATAAACCAATAAGGAAAGTTCAAAAGTCGGTCGGGGCCGACTATATGATACCCTTCACCACTTTGGGTACATACAATTTCCTTTAGATAGAATAGACATTGCATCTTTGGAGGACCATTGAAATGGAATCGGACGAAATTAACTGCGTGATGTACATAGGTATTTGAACTAAATTAAAACAACCCACACATAAACCAATACATGTTATTCTAGGTTTGTGCACAAATTCGTCCTAAGCAGACGAACTTTAGTAACTTGGTACATAATTTTGATGAAATCAGATGAAAATATATATTGAAGCTATATCTTAACCTGTAACGTCTTCAATCCAAAATTTGCAAAATTCTGTCACAATCGGACAAACATTGGCAGTATGGTGCACCATTTATATAAAATCGGAGGAAACTCCGACAAAATTTCGCATTCATCAATCTGGACTTAATTCAGTAATCTGTGCAAAATTTTGTCTTAATCGGACAAGTATTAACAGTATGGTACTGCACTTACTTAAAATCGGACGAAAAAATATAAAGGAGCTTTATCTAAATCTGCACCGATTTCAACAAAACGTCGCGGACGTCAAGCTGCAGTAATTTCAGTACGCTGCGCAAAATTTTGTCTCAATCGGAAAAACATTGACAGTGTGGTGCTGTAATCGGAGGAAACTATATATGGGAGCTATATCTAAATCTGAACCGATTCCAACAAAACTTCTCATACATCAATCTACCCCTAACTCAGTACTCTGGGCAAAATTTTATCTCAATCGGACCAATATTGGCAGTATAGTGCTCCATTTACATAAAATCTGACGAAGCCCTGTATGAGAGCTATATCTAAATCTGAACCGATTTCAATAATACTTGGAAAGTATCAGAAAGTGATTCTATGCATATTCTGAAAAGGAACCATGTGTCTTCCTCGTTTCCTTTTGCCTGTTACAAACATATGCACAAAACCATAATATCCTGTACCACAGTGTGGTGAAGGGTATAATAATTCCGAAAGATCTACGGGCCGATCTACATCGACGGTGAATATCAGCGTCGAATGAACCCCGAGCTATAATATCTATACACGAACATCGACATAGTCAGACGTATCGAGCTGCAGCGACTACGGTGATTAGGCCATGTTATGCGAATGGATAATGCATATAAATACGAGCCGACTTATGGTTCAAGCAGAAGGGGAAGGTCACGAATTCGATGGAAAGATCAAATGGAAGACAACATTTCGGAATATGGTCTTTCAAATTGAATGAGAGCTGCGCAAAAGACCGACGCGCCTAGAAATCTTTTTTAAGCTCGGCTTATGCAACAAATGTTTGGACTCGAGTCAGCTAACTAAGTACGATTTAAACCCAATTCCGGTAAAAAATGGATCCATAATCCTCAAAATACAATATAAATGGATAAGTTATAATGGGTACTACACTAAAAATGCCATCAATGCTGTTGCTTCGTAGTAGAAAGAATTGCTTCACAATATGAATTCAAAATACTAAATTACAATACAGCCAATTCGGTTGAAAAACGTGCCAAAAATTCCTAAATTACCGAAAATATTGGGATACCGTTATATGGAAGCTATACCTAAATGTGGGGCGATATATCCCATTATCAATCATCATAGGAGTAGTATCAATGTATGTCCAAAAATTCAATCCTCTATTTTTAATATTGCGTGATTTCTACAGACAGACGGACGGATATGGATAAATGGACATATAATTTTATTCTGTTTTTTTTTTTTAATAATTAATTTCACGTATATTCTATTAAAATATAGATCAAGTCTGTTAAATTGTGGTTTGAATACTATAGCTTATAGTTTTGGTGCCGTTTTCCATAAATGATATAGTTTGAGAGCCATACATTAAACTGATTCTTTATTTTTGTATAGTTTGAAAGTCTTCACATTTGATTTAACGTACCCTTGACACTCTGCCTGTGTGTGTTTCCACTACACACAGTTGTATATTTCTGTATTACATCATAGATGATTTGTGCCTACGCTGTACATTGGTGGTGTTTGTCTTTGCTATGCTAACATTGTCATGGTTACGGTTTCTATGACAAATATGAAGAAGCATTTTCACAAATCACCTGTCATCCAGGGCAAAAAGTAAACAAATTCTATTGCATTTAAATATTTTTTCCTCAATTTCATTAAAACGAGTACGTAAATTCTCTTATTTTATAGTCCATAGAACAATGTGTTATCATGTTATAGTGAATAACGAAACGAAGTGTCATTCAATGAACTAGTTCGTTCCGGAACTACAAACAGCTGATCAACTGTTCAAATTGTGATCAGCTGTTGGTTGGTCCTCCTCTCGTTTGTTTTGATTCTCATTCGCCACGGTTGGTCCTCGTCGCGTTTGCTTTGACCTCATTCGTAAACACGAGATTTGTCCTCGTCTCATTTGCTTTCAACTTCATTCGCCAGGTTGGTCCTCGGCTCGTTTGCTTTCACCCCAGGTTTACAGGGTTGTAATTAGCAAACTATGAATGTGAGCTACCCTATTCCAATCACACATTGGTGGTGATTGTCTTTGCTATGTTATCATTGTCATGGTTACGGTTTCCATGGCAAATAAGAAGAAGCATTTTCGTAATCACCTGTCATCCAGGGTAAAAGGTGCAAAAGATAAACAAATTCAATTCCATTCAAATTATTTTTCCCCGCAAAATAAACTTGGTAGTGAATAATAGAAATAATTTAAAGTAAAACAATTAAATTATATAATTTGTCGCGTTGTGTGTGTGTATGTTAACATCGCCAAACTGTCTTAATTTTATTTAAGTTTGATTTTATTTTGATTAAATACATTTTACAAAAAAATAAATAAAAGAAAAGGAAACAATAAGAAAAGGCACAAAACCACAAATTAAAGGTAAGAATTAAATTCTTAAAAATGTATTTTCTTTATTATTATTAAAAAACAATTAATTATGTTTTATTATTGTTGTCGTGTGTTTTTTGTTAAATTGTAATATTATTATTAAATAGTGTGTAGTGTGTGTTCTGCGTGTATTATGTGTTGTTTGTTTGTGTGGTTATAAGGAAGGTGGAGGACAGGTGTATTTAAAAACCTAAATCGGCTAGAACAGCATCCAGTTCGCTTTGTAGATTGGATGCCTTGGAACGGACTTGATGTATTTCATCTTGTAAATTATCAACGTTGGCCTGCAACAAAACATTACATTTCTTCATGGCATTCAGACGGCTTTCGTGTTTCTTGAGACGTGGTTCCAAATTATCCTTCTTGGCTTGATTGGTGGCATCCTGTTAACACAGAAAAAATGTTACTCCCATGATTTCTAGATATTTTAATAAAACGAGAGCTTTCGATCTTACCTCTGCCTCTGATTCACTTTCTGTTTCATTTTCACTTTCCTCCGATTCTGATTCCTCGGATTCCTCCTCGGTTTCTTCCTCCGATTCATCTTCACTTTCTTCCTTATCTTCGGCCTCGTCCTTTTCTTCATCATCATCAAGATCCATATCTTCTTTCATGGATGCAGCCATTTTGTGTACTTCCTTTTCCAATTTCTTGAACTTTTTCTTTTCTTCCCTGAAAAAAATAAGGAATTGAAAAAAAAAAATTAAAAGAGGACATTAACTATATGGTTTTATTTTATCTAACTTGAGTATGACATGATTCTTTTTCATCGCCTCCTTTAATGCTGCCTTTTCTTTGCGTGCCGCCTCTTGTTTCACCTTGACCTTGGTGAGTTTACTGCGCAATGCCTTAACTTCTTTGTTGAGACGTCGTTCACGTCGGGCAATCTTCTTCTCTTCGGGCTCATCGGGATCACTTTCACTTTCTGGCTCAAATTCAGGTGGACTGTCCAAGCCATTAAGGGCATCACTAGGCCGTCTAGAATCATAGCCGCCCTGTCATTGGAGAAATTGTAATATTAGAAATAATCTCATATTTTAGCATACTATAATATAGGCATTTAGGCAAGATAATGCGAGATTAAAGCGGGGTAAGTATTTATGTATTTAAGAAATGAAATGTAATATTTAAAAATATGTTTTTTATTTTGTAGGGATTTTATGGGAAACATAATGATCAAGGTATATTTTTGTGAGTGGGATTTATATGCATGCTGTTAAGAGGAATGATATAATATGATTCTGTTTCAAGAGATGGAATATTAAAATAAAAAATATTTAAAAAATGATTCCAAAGAATACCCTTCATCAAAAAAAAAAAAAAAAAAAAAAAAATCGAATCACTACTATATCTCTTCACAACAATACTCCAGCAGTTCAATTCAGTTAGTCCACCAAATTTAATTCCCAACGTATTAAAGATAATATCCCCAACGAAATGTCGATAGGAATTTGATACTTTGGATTATAATATAACGTTTCGGTGTTGGTATTAGAGGATCCCACCCGTTTTTGATTACATCGATAAAATTTAGTCACACTTTCCCTAAAAGCTATCGGACATGTCCACAGTTCGTGGACAGTGGCAAGCCCAATACAATTCATTAGCAGCCACAAAATCTGCGGTATTTTGAGGGAGTCTTGGAGATAATGAGCGAGTGCATATGACCCCATGATTGTTGAGGTGAAACTGGCGCTCATTAAATTACCAACCTATATAATTCTTAGGTTATTTCTAAAATAAAGTGTTCCTCTAAGTTTGGGATATTAGGCGATCTCGTAACTTTCAGTGTTCTACGTTTTAGTCAGGGTACCAACTGATAGCTCTTTACCTTATGATGGTAAAGAGGTTATATCATGTTCAATTTCAAATCCTCGCTTAAATTCATGATCTATGTGTAAAACTGACCACAATGGAAAATGGACTATACAAAGTGACAATTCACTTCCTGATCGATAGAATTCGGAACTTATTTACTAAGAAGACTTAACTGAACCCTATGGGGGGAATTGACTGATAGTAGCACGTGTAATACTGGGAAAATTGATACAAAGTCCTCTACTAAGTCAGAACCTTCAGATGGTGTCCTTTGGTATTATGAACTAGCGGGAATGAAAGGCAATGGCTTTTCTAGATCTAAAGACTGAAAAAAGGCGTCTGTGTAACATGGGACCGAACATAAATTTAAAATTGTCTGCTCTACTACCATATTACTCCCTAACCTTACCTATAACTGTCTTCTAACGAGAAACGTTTTGTCCAATCTAAGAAAATATGGTCGATTTTCATAATGGACAACCTCGGGGGATAATATCTTGGCAATCACTATCGAAGTAACATCCTAGGATGATCTGGCAATATATATAGAGTCATAGTAAAAATCTAATGAACATGTTAGCGTTTTCAGAGCTCCGTAAGGAAAACTGTTAACAGGAGCACACCGCATGGGGGAGTACTCTATTGTAGCTCCCCGTCATAAATGAGTTGCTGTTGAAGTTCGATCATCCTAAAATGAAGGCAATGTACATATATGGTAAAGTTTATGAAACATATGCCATATCATACAGTGTGTTTGGGGCCACCTCATGAAGGCAGAATTGGTACTCTTCACTATGAAACGTAAAATTCCAAATTTCCATATCTATATTGAATGAGGTGACTTCTGGACTCTCGTTAGAACTGAAATACCTCGGAATATCCATCAACGACAAATTATTTTGAAGGAGGAATGTAGAGGAACACACTAGGAGAGGTCTTATCCACTTTACTCGTACAAGTGTTTATCAAACGTGCAGGTCATTGATTGCCTTTAATCTACTTTGTACGTAATGTTTGGTAAAGTTCCAAGTTCCAAGTAACAAGATGCGCTCTGAAGCTCAAAGAAACAAAATCGTGCCGAACTTCACACTCAGAGTGAATAGAAATCGAGATATTGTAGATAATGATACCCACGTTAATGATGCCCACCTACCTCGACTCCAAGAATTTTAACATAATAATTCCGAAAAGGGATTCCTGGACAAGTGGCTCTCTACCTCTAACTGGTCTGTAAATATATACATGATTTGAAATCGATATATTCTGGATATTGATAGACACGTTAGTGACTACATATGACCCCTACATCGGCTTCAAGAATTTCAAAATAACAATTCCAAGCAGGAAATCTTGGAAAATCCTGGTTCTCTAAGTTTAGCTGATCTGTGAATAAATAAAAATAGCTCCGTTACATTAAAAGGTGTATCTACCTTTCCCAACATCCCTTAACAGGTCATATATAGATAGAATCCCATTAGGTGGTATTCTGTAGATAGAAGCCACATCTGGAGAGGCCTATTATAGGTAAATTCTCATCTATAGCGATATCTTGTAGGTAGATGGACATCTGTGAATAAATAAAGATAGCTCCGTTATGAGTGAATGATTTTGCGTTACATTAAAAGGTGTATCCACCTTCCCCAACATCCCTTAACAGGTCATATATAGATAGAATCCCGTTAGGTGATATTCTGTAGATAGAAGCCACATCTGGAGAGGCCTATTATAGGTAAATTCTCATCTATAGCGATATCTTGTAGGTAGATGGACATCTACCTACAAGATATCGATAAAGTAGCATAATATAGAAAAGAGGGGTATTCTATAGAGGGAAGTCTCTCTAACCAGCCGTTCTATACTTTTTTATCAGGTCCTCTATATATTGAAGCTCCTTAAGATTCTTCTATAGAAAGTAGCCTATTAAGGGTGTTATTTAGAAGAATGACCCCTTAAGTGGTCTCTAAACCATACTTCTGTAGTGAGAAGTTTCTTAAGGAGATCTTCCATGGGTAGAAGGCACTTTAATGAGTATTCTATAGAAGAAGGCCGTATAAAGGATGTTCCACGTAAATACATACATATCGCTCATTTGCTGCAAGATCGGCATAAATAAAAAATCGTCGTTTTTGAGTTAATGTGTTGTGTAAAAAAAATCACAACTTAAAACGCATTTTCTGAAAAATAGATTTTTTGATTTATGCCAAATGAGCGATATGTCTTCCATAGAGAGGATATAAAGCTCATATGAAGAGGTCTTCTTTAGATGTTTAGAAGGGCTTCTATAAACATAATCCTCTCTATAGCATTCTTTATAGGATGGAACTACCTCTAAAGTTGTCCTCTATTAAAAAAAGCCCTATATAGGGTTCTAAAGTTTCAAAACACAATTAAGGGGTCTTCTCAAAATTGAAGTCCTTTGAAGGGCCTTTTTCTAAATTGAAGTTCATTAAAGAAATAAATTGAAATATAGTGAACCATCTCGAGTGTTATGCCGGATAGTGATATACCAAATCATTGTTTTGTGGAAGAAATTCATCCATTTTGTGTCTATCCATGTTTATAACCTCCATTATAAAGGATTGTAAATTGATTTTGTCATTCCGCTTACAACACGTCGAAATAATCGTTGATACCTCTTAAGACCTCTTTCGAGTCGAGTTTAATGATCAAAGTGAAAGGGAAAGCCAGAGCGCGAACCAACACACCCACTAATATGCGTCTCGCCTTTGGTTAAGTGGCTCATCATCCTTATTGGGCTATGTGGCTTTGTTTTAGCCATGTAAAATTAATACACACGCACTCCTACAATTACATGGTATACGCATGGTTTTTGTGCATCCGTCCTTGTTTTGGCATAGCCCCAAAATATAATGCTATCCTCTACTATTCGGTATTTATTTGATTTGGATCACGTTTTTCAAGCGAATTGTCTGTAATTTGATATTTTGGGTTTTCTTTGCACAGCAAAACTGCCTACCAAAAATAACCAGACAAGTTTCAAGATAGCCTCCATGTAACCGTACCCCCAATATTTGCAAATTTTGGAGATATTGGACAAGTTTTCCAACCGATTTGGCTGTAATATTGTTATTGTGTAGCAATCTCCCTAACAGCAATTATCAATGTTGACACAAGTTTCGTGGTAGTCCTCATATAACGGTGCCATTTCACGTTTTCAGCCAAGTTGTCTGTCATTTCATATTTTTGATTTTATTGGGTTCACTAGCAAAAATGATCAATATCGGTCCCTTTTTGGTTTCCGAAATGTTTTTCAAGCGCCACTCGTCATTTTCGGTATGTTCGGAGTCTTATCACAACTTGAGTGTCTTTGTTTTGGTATTTCTATTTTCCTTCTGGAAACCCCGATCGATTTTAGGTATTTTTAATACCCGCCTCATGTAGGGGAGGGTATTCAAAATTCAGCCCTGCCGACTTATTTTTATTATCACAAAGTATATAAACTTCTAATCACAAGTCAGTCGTCCGTCATATGGATATATAAATAATTACTACTATAAACTATATAACATTTTATTTAAATAATAATAATAAAATTTTTAGTTAATATGATAGAGGCTCTCTCTTTAGAATTCCTTGGTAAAAGGATTCTCCTCTTTTAGTGTGTAATACTGTTTTCATAATGAGAGATCATCACCAGGTGGATGTAGAGCATAGAGTGTATCCTTCAATCTAAAATTTGGGGAGGAAGTAAGGATGATGTGTATTTATGTGTGTACAAATATAGATTAATGAAATTTGCAATAAAATGAATTAAAAACTTTTCGATAATATGACCACAAATATCTTCATTTTGGACAAAAAAGGAGTAGTGGGGTTTAAACCGATTTTAGTCATTGACTTTAATACAAATCGAATTTATTCTCTTGATAATACTCCTTGAATGTCCTTCCATGCTTGATTTTGCTAAATTTTACTTTTTGTTCTTGTTCTTTTTTTTTGTTAAATACCTTATGTATACCATTATGATTACAATATGCATGAGCTTCATAATCATTTTCATCATAAGCATAATAATAATCATTTTGTGCTGTGATATTATAATGGCAGCGGGGGCATGTACCCTATGAATAAAGCATAAAAAAAGCATTTCGAATTAATTGCAGCAAGCAGCGGAAATTGCGAATTTTGTTATTATCAAATTCCAATTCTTAAATCTCCCCCTCTCTCTCACCTGTAATGCTTGTGCCAATTTCCTTTCCAATGCTTGTATTTGTCGTTTCTGTTCCTCAATTTCACTCTTGGCCTGATCCAGCAATTCGCTCGTCTCCAAATACTTACTTTCCAAATCTTTAGATGTTTTCTTTGATTCTTCGGCTTCTTTTTTCAACGAATTAACATAGGCCTCCTCTGAGGCTGGTGTTGTTTCCATTGTGGCCACAATAATTCTTGAACCATATTCCAAGGTTTTTTCACGTGATTTCTCACGTTCCAATTCCGCTTCGAGGGTGGCAATTTTGGCTAATAATTTCTTATTTTCACGTTCTTGAGCCTCACGATTACGCAGCTCAAGGGCCAACATTTGTTTGGTACTTTGTAGATCATCACGAATCTTATCGATGTCATCCAATTCATCGCCGCTGGAACCGTCCAATAAAGCAGAGACAATACTACCGGCTCGTGATAAATTGCTGCCAGCAATGGAGGCAGCACCATCGGTGGCCTGGAAATTAAAATAACATTTTCGTATAAATTTCAGTTAGACACCACCCATCACCCCTACAACTTACATCAGCCGTTGCTGCCGCCGCCGTTCCACCAGCAGCATTTGCCAACATATTAATTTTCGACTGAGACTTTTGCAATTGTTCCTCAATGGTCATTTGTCGCCGGAATTTGCGCAAGCCCTCAATAAACGGTTTACTACGATCATTGGTCTGTGTTGGCTTTAATCGTACACCCGATTGAATTTGTTGCAACAATTTGTTGTGGGAATTTTCCTTTTCTGTTTCGTAGATGAATTTATTGTCCACCTTTGTCATGGATTTGCATGTAAGTATGGGTTGAGATCTAAGTGAAGGGATGAGATTATATTAACATGGCTTTCTTTTCTTTATTTCAGTTTAAAACATACCTATCATTGCATTCGACATGTCGAAGTTTTCTACCACTTTCTACCTCCTTCATCATTTCGGACCAATCGGGACGATGTCTTGGCCGTTTTCTATTGAAGGAAAGACATACAATTTTTGGGGAAAATTATATGGATAAGTTTGATGTTTTAGATAAATCAGTTAAATAATGTAGATAATTTATCTGCGTTGGATGTATCCACATAGATAAATGATTTAATCGTAGGTATATCATTTATGTAATTTAGATAGGGTACATAGGAAATCACCTTGCCTATGAATTCTCCCAGACCATTCAGTTCTAATATAAAAATTCTCTGTTTATTTGGTTCGTGTATAAAAACTTCCCAACCCTTGCCTAAAAAGACTCCCTTACCCTTTAGTTTATTTGAATAGACTCTTTTAGCTTGGTCATAAAGACTCGCTGAGTTTCATTTCATCAGAAAATGCGCCCAAAGCTTTAGTCGGTCTATAACGACTTACTGAGCTTAAGTTCGTCTATAAAGACTTCCTGAGGTTTAGCATGCCAATAAGTACTTCCTGAGATTCAGAATGTGTATCCGTTCCCTGAGTTTCAGCTCGTCTTTAAAGACTTTCTGAGTAAAGACCCTCTAAGCTGGTCTATTAAAATATTCTGACCTTTAGTTCTTCTGTAATGACCCAATACGCTTCAGCTGGTCCAAAAAGACTTCCTGAACCTCAGCTCGCTTACAAAGACTTTCTGAGCTTTAGCTCTTCTCTAAAGAATCCCTGATCTTCAGGTGCTCTTAAAGGGTTCCAGAGCTGCAGCTCGTCTATAAAAACTCCCTGAGTTTAATCCGCTCTAATAAGACT